AAGGTGACGGGTGTGGTGACCAGTCCCGGTGACCCAGCCGGGGCAGTGATGACGTAAGGTGACGGGTGTGGTGACCAGTCCCGGTGACCGAGCCGGGACAGTGATGACGTAAGGTGACGGGTGTGGTGACCAGTCCCTGTGACCCAGCCGGGACAGTGATGACGTAAGTTGACGGGTGTGGTGACCAGTCCCTGTGACCCAGCCGGGACAGTGATGACGTAAGGTGACGGGTGTGGTGACCAGTCCCGGTGACCCAGCCGGGACAGTGATGACGTAAGGTGACGGGTGTGGTGACCAGTCCCTGTGACCCAGCCGGGACAGTGATGACGTAATGTGACGGGTGTGGTGACCAGTCCCTGTGACCCAGCCGGGACAGTGATGACGTAAGGTGACGGGTGTGGTGACCATCCCGGTGACCCAGCCGGGACAGTGATGACGTAAGGTGACGGGGGTGGTGACCAGGCCCGGTGACCCAGCCGGGACAGTGATGACGTAAGGTGACGGGTGTGGTGACCAGTCCCTGTGACTCAGCCGGGACAGTGATGACGTAAGGTGACGGGTGTGGTGACCATCCCGGTGACCCAGCCGGGACAGTGATGACGTAAGGTGACGGGTGTGGTGACCAGGCCCGGTGACCCAGCCGGGACAGTGATGACGTAAGGTGACGGGTGTGGTGACCAGTCCCGTGCGTCACTGGTCGTCGGATTCCTCTGCAAGAACGCCCGGACAAAGTTGAAAAGAACATAGATTTTTCCTGCTGTTTTCTATTTCCCTCAATATAGTATAAAAACCATTATTGAAAAGAGAAAATGTGCCCGAACGCTGTCGAAATGGGGCCACGGCTACATTGTGACCCATGCATGACATGCCTGATAGCGTCGTGGTCATTTGATCAGTCTAATTGGCTGTTGAAAAGTGCATGCAAAGTTATGTAAGAAAGCAAATGCGCTTGTATCATTAACTCCCGCAAACTTGTTTTGCTGGCGCTTGATTGCAAATTGCACGGGAACGATAACGTTGGAGGCGGTATTTGGCTGATAGCCTATGGTCACTGAGTGAACATTGTTTACACCCAGGATGCGGACTGACAGAGGGTAGTTTGGTTGGTTTAGGGTAGCTTGATTTATGGCGAGGTTTTCCAGCTGACCCAGATCGACCCTGCATGACGCGTTGGCATGGCTTGTTTGGCCGTAACCTGCATCCGAGGCATCCGAATGACGGATCAGTAAGGGAAGCAATCCTGGATCTGAAACATCTGAAAGAAAATTCCGTCCATTCGGTCAATCTATCATTTTAATTTTGACGGCCAGCCGTGGTCCATCATGCACATCTGTGCGAGATATTTGGAATAACGAATTACTGGGCACTAACCATCAACCGCACAGCAGTGCAAAAACACTGCCAGCAACACACAGGATTTTATCAAGATGATATCGAGGCTCATTGTTGTATAGGAAGACAGATTGTTAGGACAAGATCATTCTTAACACCACAAACGTTGCAAACGAAATAGGTGACCAGTCTTCACCTTCAGAGGCCGTTCAGCCCCATACGTATTTTTACTAGCAGTTGCCGCTGGATAATTTAGTTGCGTGCTGCTCAACCTTTTGTAATGTAAACATAGCGCTTATGTTTCAATCAATGCTGCAGTTAAACGCCGATATCTCCGTCGCGCAGGTCAACGCGCGGGAGGGGGTGTACGTGATGTATTGATTACGCCAGATCGTGGTAGCGTTACGTACGTTACGAGGGAAGACGATCTCTGATATTGGCATGCTTGCTGTGGCAGGCTATCGGACCATTATGAACTCCAAAATATTATCACACTCCCTGTAAACTTTACCTCTAGCTCGCACAATGATGTTGACAATTAGTTGGTGGCTAATCTTAATCTACGTAGCTCTACAACGTTGTAATTCCAATATGTTATTTATTCTGGGCCTTTTAGACTGACACACATGTAAGTGGGTTAGTTTTTACAACGCACTTCCAGTTTTGCCCTTTTGCTTGAGCATTCAATGTTTGCATTGCACCTACATTCAACTTTTTACAAAGAATCTTGCAGATGATAATTTGTGGTGCCATATGATGTTTTCCTGTGTCATCTAATTGCTGTTCTCATCAGCAGTCACAGGTGTTATCTGTAGCAAGGAACTGGAAATGTGATATTTACTTAATTAGACCAGCAGTTGCATTGACTATTAATTGTGGTCTTTTAGGGCTCAGCATGAGTTTTATTTGGCCTTCCTGATATTTTCTTCAACAGCAATGAGTATTGTCCATGAAAGTATTGATCAATGATGTATTTGTGTGAGTGCAACCTGTCTGTTGTAGTTAATGTTTCAAATGACACTTCAATGCCCCAACTTCTTCAGTTGACATCCCTGCCATTTTTGTGAACACCCAGAGGCACTATTCATGAAAAGTGCTTCATTAGGTGTTACATCATACTTTGTGGCCTGTGCTTACCTGTGGCTCACCTGGGATACTGCTTCTGACCACTGACCTGCTGTCACCTTTCAGAGCATCTCATCTGATGGGATAAACAGAGTGATGAATATTGTGATGCATCATTCAGGCCATGATGCCCAACCAGTTGAGACCCAGTGTAGTGTGTGCAAATACTCTGCCTCTATTGGACTTACTCAAATTGAAAACCAGGTGCAGTCTCTCAGGTCCATTTATCAATATGCCACTGTTCCTGACATTTGTGCTTTTATGGGCTTATCTACAGTTATGTTAATATGACAGATTGTTTTGTCTTTTGGTTTGGCTGCTAGGACATTTAGATTTTGATATGATTCCAGGTATGTTTTAATAACTTTCAAGCAAAGCATTTAGGGCCTCACTCACAGTATTCAGCATTGACCCACATGGTCTTGCATTCTTCAGTCAAATTAAATAAAAGCCGTGCCTTGGCATTGGTTGTCCATGTGGTAGAGATGGCTCATATGCATGCATACTGAAACAGTACTCAGTTGTTGATATGGCAGGAAGCTTTTGTTTAGCCTGTAAGTTGCTACAACAGCACCTCATATCAGCCACCTCTCAAATGTCACTCCATGGCAGGAATCAGTGGACTGGTACACAACCCATCTGTACTGGGCACTGGAAACCATGGTGCCTGTGGACTGGATCTGCCAGTGCTGTGATCAGCTGCTGAGATCGGCTGACCAGCTGAAGGTAACATCAGATGCAGGTGACAGTGGAGATGATCATTGGAGTGGGGATGCCTGCATGTGGAACAGCTGGCTGGGACTGTGAACAGGTCCTGAATGTTCACAGTCACTTGAAATTTATGTTCTGTAATGATGCAAATTGGCTATGCACAGTTGCATGAAGTGAGCCACGCTACATGTATCATGTTCCTGGTAGTAATGTCGGTGATTCAGGTCATCATCAATGATAGTCCCTTGTCATGGAGTTCAACTCTCCACAATCTTAAAATGCTGCCACATCACGCATCACGTGTCGCCACCTGGGCTGCCGCTACGGAGTCTGCAGTGTCGGTCTCTGTCAACAGACGGCGCTTTCGGCGACGCTGCAGGAGCTCCGCGACCGCCACACTGGCTTGGAGGGGTCGACCGGCGCCTCTGTCGACCTGATATCGGCCGCCTTCATGAATGTTCGGCCCGAGCTGGTGACAAACGCCGCTGTCTCTTTGGAGCCGGCGAAGGACGTCTCGAGTCGCCCGCGCCCTGTGGCAAACGACTCACTTCGCTTGGAGGTCGTGGCGAGTGATTCAGACCGCCCGGAGCTCGCCTCGAATGACTGGGACCGCCTGGAACTCGGGGAAAGTGATTCTGACCACCTGGAGCTTGGGGAAAGCGGTCCGGACCGCCTGGAACTTGGGGAAAGTGATTCTGACCACCTGGAGCTTGGGGAAAGCGGTCCGGACCGCCTGGAGCTGGGGGAAAGCGCTCCAGACCACCTGGGACCTGAAGAAAGCGTTCCCGACCGCCTGGAACTTGGGGAAAGCGGTCCGGACCACTCGGAGCTTGGGGAAAGCGGTCCGGACTGTCTGGAGGTGGGGGAAAGCGGTCCAGACCACTCGGGACTTGGGGAAAGCGGTCCGAACCACCGGAAATCGGTGACAGATGATGCGGTGCGACCGGACGGCGTCGGGGGCGACTCCACCTGTATGGAACTGGTCACCGATGTCGTGGAACTGATGGCAGATGACCCGGCCTGCCTGGAGCTGGTGATGAGTGATGCTGTCGTGCTGGAGCCGGTGAGTGATCTTTTCGACGGCGTCCGCTGTGATCTGGGGTCTTTGCGGTCGAACGTCGGGTTGAAGGTCTCACGCCGTGACAGTGACTTTCTGTGTCTTCGCTAGTTCATGGTCACGTCAGCGATGTGACGTTCTTGCGGTCATCGGAGGCCAGCGTGATGGTCTTACGTTACTGTAATAATCCGACGTCACTGCTGTCGTAATATTCAAAGTTATTCCAGGGATGTGACATTGATTCACCTGTACAACATCACTGGACTTACACAGTGTCACTGCACTTGCGCATCACAGCACTTACTTGAATTCGCGGTATTGATGCACGCCCCGCCAGCGCCGCTCTGACGTGTGTGTATGTGTGTGTGACGCGTTGACAGTGTTCTGCTGCGGTGGCCGACCCGGCCAGCGGCGGTGGGCCGACCTCTCCGGCGTTAGAGCGTGTTGCGCCGCCCGCCGGTGCCGCCGCTGCTGGTCCGGCGCCGGCGCCGGCGCGGCGCGTCCCGGGCTGCGCCTCCCGCCCCCAGCGCAGGCAGGTGCGTCAGCGTGGAGAGCGGGAGGGACCAGTCCGGCAGCGACACTGGCTGCAGGGGCTTCGGTGCTGCGACACCGGTAGCCTGTGCTGCATTGGGCACGGGGGAGGGGGGGGGGAGGGGGCGGTGATACGGGAGCAGTTTGGGGCTGGTAGAGGCAGGCACTCGGATATTATTAGGTCCAGGCGTGCCCGCATTTTATTACTTTGAAAGTTGACGTCAGAGCCGTCGACGGCCAAACCTCGCGTAGCCCGTACCCACGTCGTGATTGTGTTTCATGTGACGCATGCCTGACGACGTGTGACGGGTGACGCACTGTATCCCCGTTACAGCCCGTGATTCGTCTGTCGTGTGACGGCTGCCGGCGCACGCTGGGATCGGCCGTCGCCCTGGCCCGTCACAGGACCCGCTGCGCCGGCCTTCAGAGCAAGCGGCGCTCCTCCGCCGGCAAGAGAGCCGCCGTGCCCCGCGTCACCGGCGGAGGCGGTCGACTGCCAGAGTGCGACTCCTGTGTCACGAGTCCCGGCGGGTCCGCCGCTGATGGGGACCAGCTCCCAGAGTCGCGCTCCTCTGCCGCGGCTCCCGCTGTGTTCGCCGCCGGGGCTGACCGCCTCGTGGAGGGCGGCTCCGCCAGCCCGACGCCGTCGGTGCCGCGGCGCCGGCCCCGCCAGGCGCGCCCCGAGGACGCGCCGCCGCCGGCCTCCGCGGAGGAGGCGCGCTGCGGTGAGAGCGCCGCCGAGCCCGCACCCCGGCGGGGTAGGCCGCGCCGGGCCGCCGCCGCCTCTGCCACCGCCACCGCCCGCCGGCCGGCCGCGCCGTACCAGCGGGTGGGTGATAGGTGGCGCTGCATCACCTGCTCTGCCGTCTTCAGAAGCCGGGTGAGTGGGAAGCGGGGCCTGCCACCGTGCGGAGATGATGCTGGGACGGGGCTGCTGGTGAGGAGCACTTGTCTGTGGGCGGGCGGGTGCAGGGGCGCATTGTCTGTTGCCCTCTGGACTTGCTATCTAAAAGTTTGTATCGTGTACCAATCGTTTGTTAGAGTGACAGGAAACGGGCGTACACCGCACGCGCCATCATGGGGTTCAGATGCAGAACATGATATTTGCATTTAATTTCCAGTGGTCTGGTAGTATTGTGGAGAGAGTCCACGTCCAAATTTAGCAGCCGTTTCCCACCAGAGGCTAACTTCAGACGTGACGGGGCACACGCGAACTCGGCCACCCTAAACCCCATTCTCGTGCGGCAAAGGCTTGTATGCCCGCGTGGAAGTGTAACTTTGAGTCCAGTAAGCAGCAGCGGTCTGAAGCGGAGTGTCTGTTGCCCCTGTCGCGGGCCACAGCCCGCCGCCGCCGGATTGCACCTCGGCCGACTGCCGCCGGCTCTCCGTCTGCCGCTGCCTGACGTCTGGTCTCCCGCCGCTCCCAGGCGGGCGCGCATGGCCACGCGCAGGTGCACGCGGACCCGGAGCACTGCCGCTGCCCGCGCTGCGGGCGCACTTACGCCAACGCGTACGCGTACCGCCGGCACCGCGCCGCCTGCGTCGACGGCCAGATGCCCACGTGCGCCGTCTGCGCCAAGGTGTTCACGGACGCGGCGTACCTGGCGCGGCATCAGCTGATCCACGCCGGCGGCCCGCCGCGCCGCCACCAGTGCGAACTCTGCGGGCTGGCATTCGCGGCAGCCGCGCGCCTCCGCCAGCACGCCGCCACCGCGCACAGTCAGGCGGCGCCGCACCGCTGCGACACCTGCCGGCGCGAATTCAAACTGCAGGTGCAGCTGCGGCGACACGAGAGGTCGGTGCACGCGCCGCGGCCGGCCGCCACGTGCGAGGTGTGCGGGCGCGGGTTTAAGCGCGCCGACCACCTGCGCGCGCACATGGTGGTGCACTCGAGGGAGCGGCCGCACGTGTGCGGCGAGTGCGGCCGGGGTTTCACGCGTGCGGACACTCTGGCGGACCACGCGCGCCTGCACAGCGGCGAGCGGCCGTTCCGCTGCCGCCAGTGCGGAGCCGACTTCCGCGAGCACCGCGCGCTCGGCAGGCACGTGCGGCAGAAGCACGGCCCGGCGGCGGACGCGGTGGACGTCAAGGAGGAATCTGATGCGGCTTAGAGTTGGCACGGGTGGAAAACGCTTGCCTGAGTGTGGGCATGTGGGCGGTAATGTCCCGGTATGGACATGTAATGGCCCAAGCCGTGGAGTGGACGACGTCGCTGTGAAGATGAATGGGCGCTTTGATGTCCCGGTGATGCACAGTAATCTGATCTGTGGCGGCGTGCTGTCATTTCTGTCTCAAAGTAGGGAAAATGTTTCCGGTTTCGCTGTTAATGTTTTTGTTGGTGGTATGTTGTCGCCATGCGATGATTTTTGCAACCGTTTTCAGTTTTGGTATCAGAGGTGTAAATGTGTAACATCCTTTTATGTTTTTTTTTTCAGACGCGTCGCAAGAAAGGCATTTCGTGGAACCGTTTTGCTTTTTGTTCCGTTTTTGTGAGGACAAATGCCAAAGCTGTCGTTCTGTATTCCTACTGATAACCAATGCAGCTGTTATCACCATACAACGATTTGTTGCAAGCCACGCCCCTGAGCGGTTCTAGCCGCTGGAGAGGTGTACAACCCGAAACACCTAAGCAATTAAATACAGAATACGCGCCTGTCTGTGTGAGCACTTGCAACGAGACTCGCGTCGCAGACAGACTGCTGGGAAGGCTGACTTTTGCATACACGACGGGCTGAACCTTGGTCACGATCGACGGCAACTCATTGTCGTCCGATACCAGTGCTGGTCACAGCGCGCCAGACGGGGCGTGCTGTGGCATTTAGCAGGGAGACGCTTCGTATGCAAGTACCAATATATATATATCAAGGCCGATCCGTCCAAAGCATGCAAGTTCGAGGAACGATACATATAGCGTCGTAGGAAAGCTGTAAACACATGAATGTAAACACTTAGGAGACTGTCAAGGACCCGAGCATTGGAAGCTTCCAAAGCCGACCGGGACACGCTGTGCATCAGTGAGGTATAGCGCAGTGGTTAACGCGTCTGCGTTTACCACTGCGCGTCTGGGAAACCAGAAGTACGGGGTTTGATTCCCCGCGGAGTCCGCCCTTCCTACCAGGACAAGAGGCAGGCGACGCCCAGTAGAGTCAACTGCTGAGTGCGCCGTAAAGCTCCAATGACAACACCAGCGGACTGTGAATCATGTGAGCGAAGGCGATACTGTACCGGCGCCTCATGCCGAGAAGCGAGCAGGAACAACTTAATGATATGGATGTAACTATGGGCGGGTACATGGACGCTGGTACACCTATCCGATGTCCTGAGCGCGAAGAACAGCATTGCACTGAGCCATGTCTACGTAAGGGTGTTACTTTTTAAAATCGGTTTGGGGGAGGGGGCGGCTGAGCCAATGAAGTTGACCTCACCTACCCGCATATCATGATTTCTCCTCGGATTGCGGTTTATTTGATTCGCGTCTCTGTCAAAAAGTCAAAAAGACCTATGTGATTAGTTCCAGAATTATTCAGGCCCCTCAGGCCCCCGAAAGCACAGTGACATATCTGGTCTGAGTGATCCGATGCCCGCACCTTAAAAGGTTTAACTGACATCCATTTCCTATCACTCAGACACGAGCCAACATTACGTCATTGGTAGCGGCGCCACCGGCGCAAACGGCGTCACCTCTCCGCGGTGCAAGGCAAGCTGGGGACGTTTATTTAAATAATCAATGACGTAGCGCTTATTCGCGTGTCTCTGTGTGTCTGCATTGTTCTGGGCACACAGCACAGACGATTGCGCGGAGTGTTCTGAAGCTTACACATCCGACGGGCTTAGCCTCCGTGACGGTCCATGACGTAAATTCATGCCCCACACATGCTCTTCTTTCTTCATTCAGCATGTTGCATCCTCGCGACGTCCCGGTTGTCCGGAAATGCGACATGCACCAGCCGTAGGTGGGCTAAGTACCCCGGGGGGGAGGGGGGAGGGCAGTCTTGGCGCCGATCAGATACCCCGTAGGTGTGGGCTACGTTTCGGTGAGCGACTCCCAGGAGCTTCTTGTTTTGTCCCATTGCTCACTCACTTTCATTTCAGGGCCCAGAAATGGTCATTACTGGCCGAATAGGTTCTAATCCAAACCAACCAAGCAGAAATTACGCCGTTCGGTGCCGATGTCAGAAGCAGCGCTAGCAAGACAGAACGTGCTTTGGAATTAAGCAGGGCGACAGGTATTGTGCATGTGGAAGAAACTTCCGCTGCTTAGCTGCTCAAAACAGTTGCCGAGCATGTTGAAAGACAAAGCATTCCCAACATCCCGCGAGTTCAAGCGATGAGACACGCGGTGTCGCACACACGAGGGAATGTTAACTGACACAGGCAATGCAGTTGTTGAAAGCTGACTAACGACGCGCTGTGAATCATTGAGATGTGAATCAACGTTATTGACTGTAGGCGGTGTTATACTGACGCCAATGACGTCACGTCTTTGCGCGCGAAGTCAGCGAGAACCGCTTGTCACGTGCAGTTACAGATGTGTCGCTAGATTTTCTTCTGCTTGGAGCGTTCAGTTGTCAAGAAGGTTTGGGAGGACAGAAGGCGCATGCCAACTACCGGCGGCGCTATCACAAGTTGTCAAGCTATAACTGGTATAAAATTGTAGTAGTGGATTGAAAATGGCGGGTCATCTCACATATGACGTTGAGATGTAATTTAGAAGTCAATTTTGGCAAGGTTGGTGTAGATCAGAGAGCTTGTGATCAGCCTTAAGGCTTCAAAGGAATTTCCTCGAGTCTTGGATGACTGCGTATTTCGCCCTCAGCAAGTACAGTGCAGAAGAAACCAGCATTATCCGAGGATTAGAGCGGGGCTTGGAAGCGCGCACCCTTGCTTCCTCCGCTGACTGTCATCTGCGTCCGCTGGCAAAACCATGACGTCGCCGACCGAGGCTGCGGTACCGGCGCCCGTCGATCCAGACGTGCCTGCGACGGACACAGCCCCGGGGCAGGGCGCGCCGGCCCGCCAGACCCAGGACGTGCCGTCGGCAGAGCCCGCGCCAGACCCGGGGCTGGGGGACGCGGTGCTGGACAACCTGGCGCAGGACGTGGACGTGGAGGAGATAGCCAGCCTGGTCGGCCTGATCGCCGATTCGTGCGTGCTGCCCTGCAAGGAGGCGATATTCCTGCAGGTGGGAAGTCGTGATCCCCTCATCCTCCTTTCTGCGTCCTCCCCGTTCTCCTCCTGCCCTCCCCCTCCCCCCTTCCCCAGCCGCCGTTCCCCGCCGCCGCCATTCGTCACCGTACTCGCCTACTGTTGTTGATCATGGGCGCTAGTTGGCAGAGGCGGACGGTGCTAACGGCTGCATGACTGTGCCAAATAGCTTTTGTGCGAGACATAATTGTCATGACGGTTTCTTCGCGTTGTGTTTCGTTCTCCGTCTCCTTCACTGCGCTGCGTCGTCCCGGGGCTCCTCCTGTAAAGCTATGTCGCATTTTTGTTTACCCTACGCTCAGTTGGTAAGAAATGCCGTGCTCTGACACGATCTTGCCCTTTACCCCTTGGCTCTGAGGGCTCATCGTGTTTGATGTCATGCCAGTTCCTTGAATCTGTCCAGTGCCTTAGCCGATCATTCCCATCTTACACCTTTTCAACCTTGTTATACCTTCCCGCCACACGCGTATACCCCTTCCCCTAAGTACTTGTGCTCGATTACTGCGCCCTTATGCTCTGAAGTCGCTGCTATCACAGAGCTATCTCCCCTTGTCACAGAGCGTCCCAAGTTAAGGGCCCAGTAACATCACACGTCTATCTCGCACTGCTTCCATGTTTCCATTGCAAAGCAGAGTGATCCTGTCAGTCCTTCCACTCCTGGCCCCTATCTCTGCACCGCCCCGACACGGACACCACCGTCCACCGCCTCTTCAGGAGAAGGTGCTGCCACCTCTCGGCGTCGCCTTCTGCGCCACGGTGCTGGAGGTGCACCGGCAGCGGTGCGTGCTGCGTGCTTACTCGCGGCTCAACGCGCTCGACTGGCTCGCCACCGAGCTCTACTTCAACAACGCCCGGTACCCGGAGCGTGCCGGCGCCGGCGACCTCTTCCAGACGGAGATGGCAGCGCACCACCTGGCGGAGCGGCCGCGCCGCCCGCTGCCCCTCTGCCTCCAGCTCTCGGACCAGGAGGCGGCGCTGATCGTGCAGAAGTGGTACCGCGGCTACCTGGTGCGCCGGCTGGGGGAGGTGAACGAGCTGCGTCAGTACCAGGCGCGGCTGCGCCGCTTGGCGAGGCAGGCCGGCGCGCCCACCGGACCGGTCGTCATCCAGCGACGCTCGGACCGCGCCTGCCGCTGACGGCCGCCAGATGGCAGGCCGGGAGGCATGGTGACCGGTGGCGAGTGGCAGGCACGAGATTTATCACCCCGGCGGCACCGATGCTGGCGGAGGTGCGCGGCACGTCGCCCTACTGTAGCCGATGCGTGAAGAGCGGCGCTATGTGCTCCTTACCATGTCGCAGGATGCGTCATGCTGATGTCGGAGCTGCGGCAGATACGCCGAGCGTCATCCAAATACCAGCGTCGTGAGGGAGACATCACGGCTGCGGACACAGAGGACACGCTGGTTGGCCGGGACGGCGCAGGAATTCGGAGTAGACCGCCCTGACTTCAGCGATAGGACGCGAACTAGGCACCAGCGGCGTGATTGCGGATAAATAACAAACAAATGTCTTTCGTCAGAGTGCTGATCTGTAACGGAATACGATCTAGGGTAATGATTTCCACGCAACCGAGACAGTCATGCATGCTTCTTACAACAAGGGAGAGTAACGCCTTTTAGTTAGAAATCGCACTGTGCACATGCCCATCTAGATACAAGTAGCCTAATTCCGAGTGAAAACCAGTTCCCTGGAAACTAAAAAAGCCGATTGTGTTCGCAAGGAATTTGATTTTACAGATTTCTGCTAACCACGGACCCCTCTCTGGTCACCATCCTATGCTTTTTTGTCCAGCAAACTGGGTGATGCATATGCAGCAAGTGCATATCCGAGAGACGACAGGCTATATATATATATATATATATATATATATATATATATATATATATATATATATATATATGTATGTATATATACCCCGCCCAATTCCACCCACAAGTCAGACTCGGGGAAAAATGCACATTTTAGGACTTTGAAGAAAATCCAAGTCAACAATGCCGAGAAAACTCCCTTTTTGGAAACCTTGGAAAGGGAGCGATCGTTATCTTGACTTTAGACTTGAAACGAATTCTGAAAGCAAACGGTACTGGTCGACCAGACTGGTTGGTCGTTGGGGACGTCGAGGTCTGGAGACTGGTCCGTCTGAGCCAGGAGCGGGGCGGCCGGGGCGGGGGAGCGGTCCCAGTTCAATTCAGTTTATTGCGGTGACATCCTGGAATGCTTCCAGGCTTTCACGAACCAACTCAAGATTGAAAACAAAAGTAAACAGAAGTCAACAAACTCACAAGTATCGCAAATCAAACAACTACCAATGCACAAACCAACCGAGCAGCGTACACTCAGCTCAGCAGGTCACCTTGGAGCTGATTGTGTACCACATCTGCCTTGAAGCGCCACACGTGCCTGGTGTTTTGCATGGCGGTTGGCAGGCGGCTAAACAATTCCGCAGCCCCGTGGCTGAGCCTGAGCAATCCGGCGTTCGTCCTGGCTCACGTCACTTTACGTTGTCCTGTCTGTCGAGTGCTGTTGTGGTTCTGGAAGGTCTGGAATAATCCCCGCAAGCCCGACGGTTGTCCCGTGTGGACTATGGATTTGATAGGAGATAATTGGTGGTATTTTAGTAGATTTTAAGCCGACATAATGCCTAAACGTGTCGCTTCCTCTAAAATTATATCGTGCTTTTTTGTCTGAAATGTCACGGGTGCTAAAAACTGATCGTTTTTTTTTTTACTCGGTGAAGTGTGGTGCCGCATGTTCCGTAAATGAATATGCAGTAACGAACTGAAGACACGATGAGTCCTTCCACCACTTGCCGCGGAACACAGCACAGAACGAGGTGGCTGGCATGAATGAGGGCAGTGGGTGTACCAGTACACTTAGCTGCAGTTATTTTAACCACAACCCAACTGTGGTTGAAACCACGATAGTCTGAAGGTTGGTCTGTCTGAGCCAGGGAAAGACGGTGGGAGGGGGCGGGTCTCCACCGTGGTCTGGAGATTGGTCTGTCTGAGTCAGGGGCAAAGCGACGGGGGAGGGGGGGGGGGGGGCACCTGGCGTGCAGTGCGGTGCTGTCAGCAGATCCGTGTCAATGTCGTGTGGATGTCATGTCAGCAGATCCGTGTCAATGTCGTGTGGATGTCATGTCAGATCCGTGTCAATGTCGTGTGGATGTCATGTCAGCAGATCCTTGTCAATGTCGTGTGGATGTCATGTCAGCAGATCCTTGTCAATGTCGTGTGGATGTCATGTCAGCAGACCCGTGTCAACGTTGTGTGGATGTTATGTCAGCAGACCTGTGTCAATGTCGTGTGGATGTCATGTCAGCAGACCCGTGTCAATGTCGCGTGTATGTCATGTCGGCAGACCCGTGTCAATGTCGTGTGGATGTCATCTTAGCAGACCCGTGTCAATGTTGTGTGGATGTCATGTCGGCAGACCCGTGTCAATGTCGTGTGGATGTCATGTCAGCAGACCCGTGTCAATGTCGTGTGATGTCATGTCAGCAGACCCGTGTCAATGTCGTGTGGATGTCATGTCAGCAGACCCGTGTCAATGTCGTGTGGATATCATGTCAGCAGACCCGTTTGGATACCGTGTGGATGTCACATGGACGTCGTGTGGTTGTCGTATGGATTTCATGTGGATACCACGCCAGCCCACCCGCGCAAGTGTCGTGTGGATAGCATGCCAGCAGACCCATGTGGATGTCGTGTGGATAGCATGCCGGCCGACTCGCGTGATGGCATGACATGCCCTGAGCCGTGCCATCACCAGGAGCGACGTGGAAACAACAACCAAGTTACTGCATGACGTCACCAGCTTGGCTAACAATGGGGTCCAGGCGCTGGCTTTCCAGCAGACGATGGAAGATGACCGTCAAACCCAGTATGTCTTGACAAAGAACGTGATGATGTGACGGTGAGGAGTAACACTGGTCTAGCAGAGGAAGAGAGATAGGCTAAATGGCTTTGATCTCCTGTGCGTCACCAGGCACGAAACGAACGAACACGTGAGGCTGCCTCTTTAACCCTCTTACACATCCGTGAAGGAGGACGATTGAATCAGCGATCCATTCGGCAACGAGTTCTGATTTCCCTAAAAACACGTCAAATTGTCAATCGTGACACACAAGAATATCAAAAATGACATCTATTTCTACAATATCATGTAACGCTCTAGATCTGACCCAGCTTCAAAAGACGGGAACTCCATATTACCAAAACAATTACCGGCCGATCCAAACTTTTCAATCATCAGAATATTCACAAGCGCTTTCCACCTTGAGAGTTGAGTTGAAGGGGCAGAGCTTTACCAGTGCTAGTGATGTTTCTGATGCTGGATCCAAAATCAGCCGGTGATATTTTGATGACAGGAGTTCCCCATCCTCTGAGCCTGACTGACCCTGAAAGTTGACCTGAAATTGTCAGGACCGTTTGATGGGCTAATAAGCAGCATGCGGAATTTGCCGGGCTTTGAAGACAAGAACGTTACGTTTGTCATATGGGTTATTACACAAGTTGATAGCGCTGTACGCATTACATTGAAACCGTTGACTTTGATTTGATGTACTGCGTGCGCACAAGTTTGCTGCTTCATTAAATAAATAGAGACTTTAAAGGGATCGCAAGCTTTTCAAAAAAGACTTATTTTCCAAAACAGGTCGATTAGGTGGGAGAAAACCAATTGCAATGATATCAGCATCTTTTTGCAAATGTCTTCACCTGGTGGTAGACTAGTCATTTTCCTCGACGCGTATTGAAAACTGCTGACATTTTGATGCCAATAATTACCAGGATGCCCGTATCATGAGCAGTGAAATCGCTGTAATATTGTCCTGCCTTATTTGCATCAGAAATAACTGCGTAATACCGCATTTCTTTTGCGGGAGCAAACCTATGGGTCCTAATGTTGCATCTCTTAATTCCTTACGGCCCATCTCAGAACCACTTGGACGACGGCAAACATGTGTCGTCATTATTTCTAGAGCAAAATGGTGTTTGTTTTCTGTCGGTCTAGTGCTGGTCACGTTCGCCTGGCCTGTCGGCCGAGCCGGCATCCGTTATCACGAACAGGGGTCACGTGAGGACGTCCGCGGCAGAGGGCGCGGGCGAATGTGACGCAACAGCGCCCGCTTCTTCATGGGAGCGGCCGTGATCGGCCTTGCGTTCGTGCCTGATAGCCGCCCGCCGGCTCGTTTTCGCTCGGTCGGCGCACCGGCCGCACGTGTGGACCGATTGTCCTCGGCGTCAGATGGGCCGCATTAGAAGGGCAGCACGCGGCCGCTACCCCTACCGGCGAGCACGCCCGTCTGCCGGTGCATCCGGACCCGGCCAGGCGTTCGTGCCGGTGTGACAGGTGGGGCGTGCAGGACGCTGGCGCCGGCAGATGCACGGGCGCGGGTCGGTCCTGGGTGCGAGGCGGCGCCGCGTCCAGCCGCGGCCGGTTGATGCAATGAATTTCGGCTGGGTCGTGGCGTATGTGACATGGCATGTGGCGACAGTTAATGGTGGGCTGGGCGCCATGCCGTGGTTGTATAAGGTAATGCGGTCTTGGAGACGGACTACAGGAGAAACATCTCGCGCTCTTGGTGGGCAGATGTAAGCGACTCAGGTGCCTGTTCTCAGGGACCAAGCCAAGCAAAGTGGGCACGAAGATCATGCCCCGCCCCCCTTAGCCGAGGGGTTGACACTAAATACCGGGTGATTTCGCAGGATTTCGCACCATGGCGTAGGAGTTCGCAGAAAAGTTGACATCTGCCCGCCCCCCTCACTAAGGACAATTGAAGCCTCGTGCTTGTCCGTTTCTGTGCTGCCTCCCTGCCTGCCCACCTCTGTGTTGAAAACAACGATACTTAAAGATGGTGGCAATCTGTTCAAGCACCCGAAAAACGAGTACTGAGAAAACGTCTCATGGTACTGATCATTGCTTCCAGTAAAGGTTTCTGTCGTTGAATGATAGCGGGGAAAGCATGAACCACTTTTGTAGGCACCCTTCTAAGAATGTTTGCACTCGTTTCCATTCTCAAATGGCATAAGCGAAAACTTGTTGCGCTTGAGACAGCTTCTGCACATTCACGGGAAACGTGGAAACATTCCGAACTTGTTTCCGTTCACCTCGAAAGTCAAGAAGCGGGAGCATAGGATGTCGTACACGATACCATGCGCCCTCGAACTGGGTGGACGCTCCCTTGAATGCGAACGTAATGAACGGTTCAGACGCGGCAGCTTCCCCGTAGTCGCTCGCTCGCAGCGCCCCGTGACTCCGGAGCCGGCGTCGCAGGAAGTGGACGATGACCTCATCGGGCGAATCGGGGTCTTGGCACCGACACCGGTCGTCTGGCGGCCGAGCGGCGTGGGCTCCGTGTCTGCCTCGGTCCGGATGGCTCCGGTTTGGTCCGGTTGGCTCCGGCGGGGCTCGGGAGTCGGCGCCGCTCACGTACGGGCGCCGGGCCAGAGCGCCCGGCCCGCCCGCCGACCCCCACGCATCTGGCCGCTCCAGATGGGCGAACACGACCCAGTCGGCGTGGCGCTGTGCGCGGCGCTCCCCCCCCCCCCCCCCCCCCCCCCCCCCCAGCTTCCGGGAGGGACACCCTGGCAACTGTAACGTCGTCGAGTGAAGCAAACGACGGGCGTTGAAGACCTGATGCGTATTGTGCAGTGCAGCTTAGACTCATGGCACGTGTGAGAACAATACTGTTTGATTCGGCAGCGTTCAGTAGCATGAATCTCTGCTTCTGTATCAAAACCAGCTCATGTTTCATAACAATGGCTGGCCTACCCGGAACTTAAATTTTAGCAGTTAACCCGCATCCAGTGAGTTGTACCGAGCGGAGGAATAT